GGCGTCATGACCTGGGACAGTGGTTCCAGGCAGGTTTTACTGGATGTGGCCCTCAGGGGGCGGCACCCAGGCCACCACACACCCGAGAAGAGCCCCAGGGCATGTGGACCCCATGCCACTTCTGCCCCATCCTCCTCGGCCCCACTGACCGCCAGGACCGCAGGGCGGCTGGGCAGGGTGAGCTGCAGAGCCAGGCCTGTCTCAACTCCCGTCAAGACAGGGACACACTTCATGGCTTCCGGTATGCTCAGCCGGGCTGCGAGTGCCATGTGACGCCAGGCTCTCGAAGCTGGCTGCTGTGTTTTATCAGCACCAGGCTGCTCACGTCACATTGACACACAAATCACGCTACCAAAGTAGCAACAGACCCAGAGAGGCTTAATAAAACGCTGTAAACCTGGGTACAGTGACACTTTAAAAAACCGCCACCGAAATACTTCGAAATGGCTGCAATTAAGCGACTCAGAAGTGAGCGAGCAGTGCAATTAGGGAGACAGCCTCGCAGTGTCTCTGCCGGAGTCCAGCCCACCCGGGGCCTGGGAGGAGCAGGCAGCAGGCACGCCCCGTCGGGGCCTGCATGTGGCCAGGCTGGGCACCTGCTCCCCCTAAGTCAGGGTCTGGCAGGCTCCAAGGGAGGACAGTCTGGGGAAGGGGGTGCTGGCAGCTCCCACGATGCTCACTGGGGACCCCAGAGGCTCCTGGGAGTCCCTGAGCTCATCTCTGTGCCAGGTCCCTGCTGAGGACTGGAGATACAGGGTGACCAAGGGCACCCACGGTCTGCCGGAAGAGACTGGCGGCCCAAGGCAGCCCTCGGCTATGAGGTCAACTGCTCCACAGCCCCGAAAAACGGACTTGGGTCCGTGGGAACACCTGGGGTGCACCCGGCCCTGGGGAGAGGGGGGAAGGGTTTGGGAGGGAGCCTAAAGCTCACCCACACCCTTCCGAGGCCATACCCATGCCACCCCACCCTTCGCGGTCAGAAACCAAGACAAGGCCAAGCGCCGTCCAGCATGCCATCCCCGGAGCCTCGGGGGGAGAAAACCCACTCGAGAGGCCATGGCTCGGCAAGCCCCTGCGGTCCCTCAGCGGCCAGCCTGCACCCTGCGAAGGCCCCTCCCACCAGGCAGCAGGACTCCTGGCCCAGGCCCCCGCGACAGCCCCCCACGCGGATAGTGCCTCACATCCTGCCCGCCAGCTGGTGCCCCTCCAAACGCCTTCGGCCCCCACTTCCCATGGCCCCTGCCCCCGACGGCACGGACAGGCTGCCTCCTGTCTGCCCAGCGCCGCCTCACAGTCCATGGCTCTGCGTGGGGCAGGGTTCCTCCGAAGGCCCAGCCGGGTCACACCCTGGTACTCCCAGAGCCACTTGCCCTGGGAGCCGCTCTGTGTCCCCGAGGGCCTTGTAGGACCCGCCTGGGTTCCGCCCACGCTCGGGGACACGGCGGGTGGCCGCCTTGCCTTCTGTGTCTTTCTAAGGGAGATGTGGGGTCTCCTCTCTTTATGACCCCAGTGCAGGCGGAGGATGGGCAGAGCAGAGCATCTGTGCCCAGGGAGGGGCCTGCCCTCCTGCCGTCCTTCGCCTGAGGGTGCCTGTCGGCCAGAGCGGACGAACAAGACCAGAGAGCCTGCCAGAGTGCCACAGCCGTGGAGCGCCGTGGAAGGGCACCGGCGCCACCTAGTGGCTCTCAGGGGCAGGACTCGGAGGACAGCTTAGAGCCACCAGCAGCAACCACAGGGACCAGCCGAGCCCAGTGACGCACACGTGCCCAAGCACATGCAAACACACACACACGCGTGCGCGCGCACACACACACACACACACACACACACACACACTCGTGTATCCAGGACACACCATGCGCAGACCAGCACGGGGGGCCTCACAGTGGACGTGCTCAGGGAGCCAGCAGAAGGCTCTGGAACTCAGCCCCCAGGCCCACTGACTGCTGCATCCACCACCAGGGTGAGATGGTCCGCAGGGAGCTGGCAGCTGGGCCCAGCGCTGCCCAGCGAAGGGGCAGACCCACCTTACCCACACGGGGAGATTCGGGGCCACAGGGCTGCGGTCCCTCACCTGCCCTTTGCCCCAGGCCCAGACAGTCTAGCCAGGGTGCAGGCCATGAGAGAGAGGCAGGGGATCACTGGACTCCCGGCGCCAGACTGTCCCGCCAGTCCCTCTCGGGGTAGCAGTGGACATGCCACCCACAGGGAAGGGCCTCCACTTGAGGGAGGCAGTGTGGCTCCGGGGGCCTCGCAAGGGCCAGGACCCCACCCTGGACCGGCGTCTTCTGTTTTCCCAAGCACGGACTCGAGCTGCTTGGGAAATGCCAGTCACCAGCCCAGACAGCATCTCCCAGATTCTTCCCAAAAGACACATGCCTCTTGCCCCAGGAGTGTCCCCAATCCAGGGCTGATGTGGAAGCACAGAGTGCCCCAAAAGGAGGTAAATGGGCTGAAATGGGGCACCAGGATCCAACAAGCAGTGCCACAGCCCAAAAACCAGAGGGCCACGGCAGCAGGGGACAAGCCCAGGATTCCATGTCCCACGGCAGGTCCTGCGGGTTTGGCATCTCCCATGGCACCAGGACCTCAGTAGGAGGGTCCAAGTGAAGCCCTGAGTGGGAAGAGCATCCTGGTGACCCGGGGCCATGTCCTCACAGGGGCCTCTGAGGAGGAGGCAGGAAGCTCAGAGTCAGGGAGAGAAGGGAGAGGCTGCGCAGCTGGTCTAAGCCAAGAGGAGCAGGTGCCTCCAAACACCGGAAAAGGACACGGAGCCGGGCTCGGTGGCTCAGTCTGTAATCCCACACCTTTGGGAGGCTGAGGTGAGTGGATTGCCTGAGCCATGGGTTCGAGACCCACCTGGGCAACTTGGCGAGACCTCATCTCTACAATAAAATCAAAAAATTAGCTGGGCATGGTAGCTCGCACCTGTAATTCTGGCTACTCGGAAGGCTGAGTCGGAAGGACCGCCGGAGCCCAGCGGGTTGAGGCTGCGGGTGGTCTGGGTGACAAAGTGAGACTCCAACTCAAAAAAAAAAAAGAGATTGGGTCTTGCTGTGTTGCCCAGGCTGGTCTCAAATTCCTAGGCTCAAGTGACTCTCTCACCTCCCAAGTGTCTGGGATTATAGGCAACTATTTGAATTTCAGCTCTGTCACTTGCTTTTCTTTCTGTCTTTTGTTTTTGGTCACTTGCTTTTCTGTGTGAACCTTGAAATATGCATTTATGTTAACGAGTTGTTGAAAGGAAAACATACATACAAAAAGAAAGTCTTTTGGCAAATGGCATGTATAAAAAACATTAGTGTATTGTAGTGTCTTAAAGAAAACTTGGGAAGATATTGTGTAATTTTAAAAATTATTATTTCATATCACATTGAATAACTAATAACATTATTATATCAGAGTTCATTAAATGGCAATGATAAAATCTATTAGATTCCATTCAAAATCACCAGGAAAATCTTCCTCACATAAATATAGACTCATTTATAAATATCAAAAATGCAACCTCTGAGACCAGAGATTAGAGATAAATTTT